TCATGATTATTTATTTTTATAACTTTTTTCATGATGAATGTTATCACAGTTGGGGAGTGTCCTCCTCAAATACATATAAAGCCAGCACTAGATGTGCAGAAGATGGAGAACATTCAGACTTGTCTGGACTTTTTGGAGCACTATGGAATTTCTGTCAATGGAATCACTGCAGATGGTTAGATCAACATAGTTAATGTGAAAGTATCAACAGTTGTCTCGTGGGTTGGTATGGCCCTATGCAGAAAGTGCTGTTTCTCTAGGTTGTGCGGTGGATTAGTTCTGTGTCACTTGAAAAGGGATTATTAGTGCCTAAAATAGGATTAGCAAACCCTTTCGCTCTCAGGAATGACCTGGAACTAATTTTCCCTTATGATATCAATATGCTATAAAGCAGGCAGGTGATGAGAATGAAGAAAATTATCAATAAGTATTTGACTCTCATGAAACACCAAATTCTCAGAAGCAACATAATGGGAAATGTAGGGCAGAAAGTAAAGAGAAGTATTGTTGAGGTCCCAGGAGTGAAAGGATTAAGAAAACACAATCCACATTAGAAGTAAATATGTAGTAATTGGTGCAGCAAAACACTGTATTACATTTATATTATAAAGGTGTTGAATAACTACAGTCCTTTCATCATTCTTGATGTTTTTATCCCTACACTAGAGACCTTGGGTATTAAGGTAATTTGTTCTGCCTGTGGAGCAATTTCTATATTATTTTACACAAGCATCATATGAATATTTCTGGTTTTTGTTTTAGATATTGTGAGAGGAAACCTCAAAGTTGTGTTGGCTTTATGTCATAGTCTTTACAGACACGCTGGCTCAAATGGAGGTAATTGTTGTTAATTTCCTTACACAAACTCGGATATTTAGGGAGTAAAATTATTCAATATGTGATTTGCTCCCAGCCAATGAACAAGCTGAAATGTTTGCGTGTGTGTTGCTACCAATACTAACCACTCAGGGGCTGCATTTTTTTCTCACTAGTAAGTGATCCTCAAATTTCTCATTTGGTGGACAATGATGAATTGTCACTGTTAAGCTGGGTGGCAAAGGTTACTGGCAAAGATGTTGTTGATTATGGGAGGTGAGCACACTAATATTGTCTTTCCCCTTCACTCTTTACACTCTAACATCAGTATGCATATTTTCTATAATATTCTTCACTCATTTTCTATGGTTCTGACAATGAGAATTTATTTAACAGTTAAGAGCTTCTTCAGTTTGAAATGATTTCCTTTATTCTCATGCCCTTAATGTGTGATTCAGGGGTGATATTGTAAGGAGAAATTAGATGATAGTCACTCTTAGTGGTAAAAGGGTTTAATGAATTTGGTTACTACTACATTCTGGGAAAAAACTGAGGGAAACAAGAAGAGAAAGTGCTTCAGTATTTCAATAGATTTACCTTCAGAGCACATGACGCCATCTTTACCAATTAGAGAATGGAAGTAAGCTTTCTTATGTTGTTCAATGGCTATCTGTTTTACTTTGCAGTTTTCAAGATGGCACAGTGTTATGTTTGCTATTAAACAAGATTATTGAAGGAGCTATTCCAAGCTTGGTAAGTGCAAAAGAAAGGAATGTGGGGCTTGAAATTAAATTCTTATTTGCAAAGAACTCACTGATTGAACATTACAGTGGCCTTAACCTATCATTTTATTAAAAATCCTCCAAATATTCTTTGATAATAACTTTACTGAGAACCTCTTTTTATTCAAACTTCTTCAAATCGAAAGGGATAAAAGAAGAAAGTGATGTGACTGCTGAAATACTTGAAAGTGAGCCACCTGATCTTTACCAGTTCCACTCTTCCTTCAAAGTAATACACAGATATTTTGCATCTTGAAAAACTCCGTAATTTTTTTTTTCAATTTCAAGTTTATTGTTTGACATCCATGTTAACATTTTCTGTTTTCAACCATTGCTTATCCTTAACAGTTTATTTCCTTACCAGAGGCGGATCCAGACCTTGGGCTAAGAAGGGGAGAGGGGGGTGGTTGTTTGTCGCTTGCTCTGCCAACTTTTCTTCCGTATGCAAATTTTTTTTAACCCAAAATAAGGGGGGGGGGGGGGCCCGGGCCCCTCCCCCAGATCCGCCACTGCTTACCCCATCAAACAATTTATCTGTGGACTTTCTTGAAATATGAGACAATTTTATTGCATCGCTAAAGCGATTTATAAAATGTGACATGCTTACAGTTTTCTCTTTTTTTGCAGGTTTTAGAATATGGCTCAACGTCTGAAAAACTAAGCCTTGCTTTAAAAGTTTCTGCCGAACAGCTACTTGTGGGACTCAGTCTGAAGGTAGAGAGCATCATAGATCAAAGATGTCGAGAACATTTCATGGAGTATTTGAAATCGTTGTATCGAGTGTATAAAAACAAATCCAACAAGGCGTTTGATGCATTTGAGCAGAGGAACTCAAGAAGGGAGTACAAAAGGCAGTTAATTAGAGAACAAAAACTTCGCGCTGAGAGGTGTGGCTCTGATTTGACTTATCTTGGAGAACTTAGCCAAGATAAATCCCGTATTGCACGGGAGAAATTGCAGGTTTCTCTGGCTAACGCCTCGAAGGGTGTGTCAAGCAGTGAAGGTGTAATAAGCCCAAGAGGGCTGAAGAGCCTTGAAAACGACGATTTGAGTGCTTTAACGTATGGATCCCATACCTTATCTAAAAATGGAGTTCTAAACAACACTAAACGGAAGCTGGATGATTTGAAAAAAGAACTGGAACTTTTGAAGGTTGAGCTACGAGAGGAAAACAATGAAAAGCGCTGCGATCGAAGTTACTTAAGGTCAGATTCTCCCTCCCGAGATTATTTCACGAGTGGACGTGGAGAACCAATTTCGCGAAGTAAGCAAGCGAACACCAGATTAGAGCTTAGGCATGTTTTTCGTGGACAAGGAGGCACATCCGTGGGTGAGAAAACTCAGAAAAATGGTCATAACAGTGACGTAGCTTTAGAAAGAACTACAAAGATCGGTGATGCTGATTCTGGTGACGATAAACCCCTTTTTACTGCGTGTTACCTTGGAAACTTTCCAAGGAGCTTTGATGATTTAAGTTCACGAGGAGGACTTGGTCATGCAAGTGATGGTACGAGTGTCACACTCAAAGACATGATTGAACAACCTCTATCCTCCATTCACGAAGTAACTAGCACTTCTTCTTTCGAGGACCACCCTAAATCAGTGTTGCCTTCACAGACAAGTAGTAAACTGCATCTTGATAAACCCCATGCTGTGGAAACTAAAGAAATTAGCAACTTGTTCGATGTCGACTTTGGTAACGTGGATGAGAACAAGGGTGGCGATCGGGAAACATCTGTTTTCAAGAGGATGCTTAGAGCTGGAACTGAGGCAAAACCAGGAGAACGTAATTTACGCGATGATCCGGATAGTCAGACTGTGTGTTCCGTGAGTCAAGGGAATTTTAAACCCGGTGCTCTAACGAAAACGTCTTTAGCGAAGCCTCATAGAGAGCAGGAGAGATATAAGGTTTTGGATAAATCGTTTGGTTTATCACCTTCAATTAAGCCAGTTCAATACGAAGAAAAAGTACCCATGAGGGAGAAAACCTCTATGGATGTGGCTACGAATGGCACCACCAGAAAACAAGTAATAGTTCCTCAAAGGACTCTTTCAAAAGACAAACGCCATAGTGAACAAGTTGTAGCCAAGAATCCTGCCAAAGGTGTCCAGGCACCATCGTCTAAATCACATCTGCATGCACTTACTGCGCTCATACGGATGAGCGCTAAAAATGCCAGCGCTATGTTTGACGAGGAGCCTTAGTGAACCGTTTCGATATAAAGTGCTGATTATTAGTTATTATTAATTTTTACATTTTCATCTTCGAATATTCTGGTTGGTTCACTTAACTCCGGTTATCATTATCATTGATAACTTCCGTTATCGTTAGCTTTTTTTTCCTCAGCACTTTAGTGGTACGAATTTCATTTCGTTCATAATCAGGACATTGTTCCAGGGTTCTCAAAAACATTTTGAGTAAGCGGACGGTGCAGTACTAAAGGTCGAAGACCCTCTGCGGGCAAAGGCTCCTGGAACCACAAGCATTCGAAATAGCCGGCGCAATTTTCAGAGTAGAATGAAAAGTACCTTTTGACAACCCTGACATTGTTCTATAATTGATTATTTTTAAGTTCTCCACACAACTGGTCAGTTGTTAGGTGGCTCAGTTCTGCTACTGCTTAGTCTGATTCAGCCCACAGCACGCATTTTCTCAGAAGCTGCTCCAAAAGATATTATCTTATACATCAAGTCGAAAAATAAATGGTTACTTTTCTGTAAAATATGTCTAAAGAGAAATTCTTACGTATTTATAGAGGTTGAGAAGCCAACAGCTATTTTATTAGTAATTAAAACTGTACATTACCATACAAACCCCCGCAGACTTAAAAACATTTTTCATGTCCTCTAACGTCATTTTCAAGTTAATGTGGCAGGTTAAAATAGCGTCTTTGCATAATTTGAAATTTTTTTCTTTGGTAAAGGAGATTTTTAAGTTAGTCATGTAATGTCTGAGAAAGTTGATTTAAAGAAAAATTGCCACTTTCAGTTACAGTTCAGACTGCTGACTTGCCTGATAATTTTGCTTTAGATTGGTTTAGCCGCGACCCCGAGAGCAATATCGAGGTTCTCGCGCGAAACAACCATGAAATCATGTAGGGAAGAGGTGTGAAATTCGAAAAAAAAAACACTATAACTTTCGAAGTCTGATTTCAGCGAAATTTATGAAAATAGCCTCCTGAATGTATATGAACACTTTTTTGAATTTCGACTCATGTTGGCACTTCCAACACTATATACCATACTCTGCTCCCTTGTTTGAAACGGCAAGAGTTACATTATTTCATAAAACAGGTTTCGTCAACTAAATCTAGCCCAAATTTCGCAAAAGAACTCAGAGTGGAGAGAATCTTAACTTATCGGAGCTTCACTTCTAGTCCTTGTGGGCTCAGTGAACTACTCTCTTTGCATGCCAGGATGCTAGGATAGCATAACATTGCGTTCCAGACTCCCAACTTAGAGGCTGATTCCACGTGACCATGTAGGATGGAAAGCGCGCGAAATTTTCGGTAAGACGCGTGTTCGGGCCTTTATTTTCGTGCTGTGGCTTGTGAATGAAGAAGTGAATTCTCCTCAACTGTGACACTTAAACTTACGCTATCTTTGAGAAATGAGTGTTTTGTTCATTTGTAGCATTAAACACCTGTCAACTTTCATCAAATGGACTCCGAATTCAGTACACGGAGGACAGAGGTTCTTCGATGAGGGAATTGTCGATCTTACAGCCGCTTCGTTCACACGCTCGAAGCCATGTCCCTGGTACTGTAAACCTTTTTTTGAAAAAAATTTAGAGCATACTGTTCCTTACTTCTTTAAAATTTGGTTCATTTTTGATAAGACTTAAACACAGTAAGGGCTTTAGGGGGAAAAGCCAATTTTTAAAAGGTTGATTAAATTTAGTATGGTTAATCTCGCATTTGGGGAAATACTACGACATACTTTTTTCCCATGCGTTTTCGTTACCCGCAAAACAGTCACTATTTAAATATTTACGTTCATTTTTATTTGGCCGATTGAATCCTACCTGTGTTTCTAAGTTGTCCACCACTGAGTTTGTATTTTTTTTGCTTTTTATCTTCACATGGAAGCCATCTTGAATGACGGAAGATTGCATTTCCATGCTGAGATGGGACAGTATTGTGAAGTAACTTGAGAAAACTTCAAATCCAGGAAAATTTATGGATGGCAAATTTAAGGTACTAACTAAAGAATTTAATTAATACAGTTTTGGGTTGTACTGTGCTTGTACTTGAAAATCGCCGGTGAATTGATCTTTGAATTTTTCTCGGCGAACTGTATGTCTTAAGAATAAGTTGTTAAGCCCTGGAGAAAATAACTGACAAATCTCTTTCCTACGCGAATTGTAGCGCTGAAATTTTATCCGTCGAAAGCTGTGGCAGCTTATATTTATGATTGTGCTACTTTTTGTTTCCACGAGTCATTAAACTTTTCAGTCTTGAAGTCTCCAAAACCATGATCAAGTCCTTTCCCTTCCTGGCGATGTTACATTTGTTACCTAACTAACCCTTAACCCCCTAACATCAATATGCAAGTTCCCCATACAGTTCGCTTTACATTCCCTAAGGTAATTAGAAGAAGAATTTGTCCAACAGTCAAGAACTTCTTGCACTCATGATCATTTCCTTTCTTCTTATAACTGTAATTTCTGGTGGAGGGGTGACACTGTCAAAAGAAAAGAGATGCTTTTGGGGGTCAAACAGGGCAACACTGATCTTGGATAAAAGTTTTCTCTGGAAAATTGTTAATGTTGGGAAGAGAGTGGTAACTTTGACTTTTGAGAGAATTTCTGTGTGGGATAGGTTAAATGGGTTTTTCTGTTTTCAAGGTCTTAGCTTCAGGTGAGTTAATTAGTGTCTAGCAACTGCTGTTTAAGGCAAGTTAATGTATTTGGCTCCTGTGAAAAGTGTATCCTTAAAGGGGTGAAGAAGTATCAGGAATATAACATGACAACCTGACAATTAAAAGAAAATAGTTCAATTGTGTTTACCCAATAAGAAAATCCACATCTCCTCTGTGCAAATATGATTGTAAGAAATGATTGTAGAAATCACTTCACCACTTCCCCAGAAGTAAAATCATCAACCACTAAGAAGCAGACCGAGACTACTGGTAATTAACCAGATGTCATTAGACACTTAACCTTAATTTTATTTTTTTCTAGCAGCAGCTTGTACATGTGAGATTGCAGGCATAACAATAGGTCTGAATTAACTTCAGACTGTTTCCATTTCATGGAAACAGTTTTAAATTACTTGAATTGAACTGATTTCTTTTAAATATGCTCTCTATGATTAAAACAAAATCAAGTGCAATTATATCCTTGTTTCAAATAAGTTTTAAGCTATAATTTTTGGTCAGTTTGTCCTCTAAGCCTTTGTCAATCTACAGCATCATCATCCCTGATGATGTCACAGATAGGCAAAGACTTAGAAGATTCATTGACTAATCATGTTACTTAAAGGTATCCCTTAAAAGAAATCTTGTACCACTTACATAATCCAACATGCTTCTGAAGTATAGTTTAATTGCTTAGTTAAGGGCACTTAAATTAAAAGGCCAAGGCCAATGAAAAGGTTATTAGAACATTACTTTGAGGGGGAAAACAGATTCCTATATGATTTAAGACATAACCAATTCAAGATAACAATACTGCTGCAGCTTTTCTCTTTGCCAAGACAAATTTCTCTCCCTTAAAACTCCAGCATCAGTGCACTGGAATGAATTTGTATAACAAAATCTTTTGTCTGGGCAGTATTATTTTATTGTGCTGACAAAAGATATGTAAGGTCTGGTGTTGTTGACATTTTTAAGGCAAATTGAAGAAAAATGACTTAAATTTCAAGGTTTGGGCTTTGCCACTGTTGGTAAAGGAAGCATATATGACCTTGTAATGGGTTGCAAAGACAGCTTAATGAAAGACAATCAACTAATTATTACTTTCCTTTAACAAAAAAATAAGTACAGTCACAAAGATCATTTGAAATTAATGGTTGTATTCAAATATTTGGTGCTTATTGCAAAATCACATACAAAACTGTTAGCATTTAATTTTTCAAGTGTTCCTGCCACTCACCACTAATTTTTAAAGACAGATGAAAAAACATGATGACATGTATTTTTCAGCACGAATCTTTATATATTACTAGGATTATCTTATGAAGACTACAAAATATCAGAACCATACAAATGTACTGTAGGAAAACTACTATTGGTATAAAAGAAACCCTTTTACAAAAGATAGCCCTATTTTTAAATGTCTACAACCAGCCCAAAAAATCAGCTGCTCTGAGCAGTTAAGAAGTACAGCATTAAGACATTTCATTGTTTATAAACTCTACATCTTTTTGTGAAACTACAAAATTTATCATGATTAGTTTTAAAACAAGAACTCTATTTAAACTATTTACAAACCTGATGTCCTACAAAACAATTCTACTCTCTAAATCTATATTTTGTATTCTATTATTCTCTACTATAATTATAGAAAATTATTATCAAAATTACTGTACTCAAGAACATTTTCTTGTATCAATTGCCACCATAATTACAATTTCAAAGTTCCAAAATTAAACCTGGAAAAATAAACTGATACAAAAACTGGCAAGCCATTTCCATCAGTTTCGAGACTATTTACAACAATTGATCAGCACATTAACCATTTCAAAAACAGACACAATTTTATAGGCTGGGCAAGGTATTTGCCTTAAAGCAGGTTTTACTTTCTTAAGTACAGATTAATTGACTGGAGTTGACAAAGTGTTTTCTGAGATGGGTTTTTTCACTTGTGTGGCCCACTGTGGCTTAAGCCTGTTTCCCTTTCACTAAATGACATTCGGTATTGTAGGCACTGGAATACAAATTTAGCAAAGCATGCATCCCATTCACAGTAAAACCTCTCTTTTTCTGAATTGATTATATAACACTTAAATTAACATCTCACTTTTCTAAAATGGAAGTAGAAAATTTTATAGTTTCTCTCTTTATCATACCAAACTTGAATGAAGTTCAGACCATACTCATCAACAGCTACTTCTCATTTTTGCTGAGCAAAATCAGTAGAAAATAGAATTATTGTCAAACCAGTGACCATTTTCATGGTGTCATTTCAGGTTTTCAGTAATATGTTCAAGTTGAAATGCAGTTAGTGCATTTCACCTCAAGAAGAAATTTATATGAGAGTGGTAGCACAAAAAAAGCAAATTTGAAATTATTATTTGCACTTTTGTGGACAAAAAGGTTTTTTATTTCCACTTGCACATGCAGAATATATATATTAGTACTCTGTTGGAACATCTGTAGCATCATGTAAATCTTCCTCACTATATCCAACATTCAGGCTTCTTAAGGTAATATATTATGTTTGATCAATGTAATCTTTAGAGAAAACTATGACCACAAGCAACCAATGTATGCAACTCTTATATGAACATGGTCTACTGAAGAACACAGTTATTGCACTGCACCCCACCATTCACTCACAGTATGTAATTAGACTTGCTTTAAAAAAAAAACAAACCAAAAAAAAAACCAGCTCCTCTAGTTATCCAGATAAAAATTCACATTTTGTACATCCAGCATGCTTTTAGACAATGTTTTCTCCACTGTCAAATGACCAATTAACATCAAGCCTTAACACCTTTGACAAGACTTTACCAAGAGTGGATCAAGTGTGTTATCATTACAAAATTTAACTTCAACTATTCTTTTGATTGAGTGTTTACGCATGGAAATATTCTAAATAATGCGAATGTACTTAAATTTACTTTCCAAAATACTCTACTAATGCAATTTATAAATAGGACCAGTTATTCTTACTCTAAAAGCCTATATAAATTCTTTGGTTTGTACATGGATGCTTCTAATATTTTATGCTAATATCTTTACAGAAGAACAACTTACAATAACTTAACATATGGCAAAACCAAAGCATTCTCTGAACCTGGCTGAACCATCTTTTCTTAGTGCTAAGTTTCTTCTATCTTGGCATGCTGTGTACTACTTTATCTTGTGGGATGGACTGGACTGGCTTTTACTTGCCCATTTAATTTAAAGGCCTACCATCTGGGCTGCTGAAGATAAGACCAGTTTTAGGGTACCCTGGGAACCAAGCAGCCTAAGATGATATCCTGGCTGACATAACATCTACTGACTCTGCATTGTTGTTAACTGGAAAGAAATTCCTCTCTAAAATTAAAAGAATATAAGGAGGCTTTGAGTGGCAGTTTTAGGTACACAAGGTTCTCATAAAGTGCTGCATGCTTGCTTACAGGCCATCTTCTTTGATTTCTAAGTCCCTTGCTTTTTGTGAAATAACGTGTACTATGCAACTGGTGAATTATAATAAAATTACAAAAAAAAAAAAAGCTGTCACAAACAAAATTAGCAAACAGAAAATCAATTTGCACTCCACAAAAAAACTTGGTCTTCCTTTCTTTTTCTTTGTCTTACTTTTTTAGTTCATGTCTATTTTCTATCCTGAGGGTTTGTTTTCACTTAAGATACTTGAAATTTTGTAAAACTGCACATTTAAAGCAACTATGCATTTTCTGGCAGAGCATGCACATAGGCCTCTGCCACCCTTCCTAAATGCTGTTGCCTTTGTTATCAGTACTTGAATTGTGAACTGTCCTCACAATGCATCAAGTCATCTTCCCCATCAATTACTTAGAACCCCTGGGTAGAAAGATATACGCGATATGTAAAAGCATCTAACAACTACCTTCAAGCATGTTCTCATCTGGATTCATACCGCCAAACCCTGACACCATCTGGTAGTCAGTGGACTCCTCTTCAGATGCAACATTTCCACTGCTTGAAACAGGTGCTACTTGGATAGCTGTGGGCCAGCGAGGAGGTATACTACCCCTTGGTGTGTTTCCAGGTGATGTGAACAAGCTCATTGGAAGTGATGGACTTACAGCAGATAAGCAACCAGGTGGCAAGTTTGGGTAGCTGAACACTTGCTGGTTGTGATTGCTGTATGACGATGCTCCACTGTTTGGATTGTTTGTAGGAGACTGGGGATTGAAATCACAGTGAAAAAAAAAAGAGTTAATCCTGTTTTGTGGCTCTGAAAATGTGGAACCTCATGGGAAAAAGTACATACCCATACCCTCAGGAATACACTAACATTAGCAAAATGTGTGAATGCCTTTGGATATGGATGATGCCCTCA